GAGTGACCGTTTGTTTTTCATAGGAATGTCCACAGTCTACTGGAAAATCTTGCCATCGAACAAAACAAATCTTGTTAATCGTGAATTCACACGATTTCTTCCTCCGTATATTTAATTGTGACCTTTGTCACAAAATGTGCTCCAGATTAGTATACAACCACATTATACTACGTATTTATATCGCCGTGTGCCTTTCTGAGAAAAGAACGCTTTCATGATAAGAAAATGTAGGCGCTCCGTCAGTTTGGTGAGGTATGGAAACTGAAACATTTAGGAGTAGAGGATGCTCAATATTGATCAAAAGATGTTTTGCATTCTTCAAAATTCACATTCCATTAATTCCGCTTCTGGAGTAAACAGTGCCACAATCTCCAGAATACAACGACAAACTTATCATGCACATCGCTGAGTGTGGTTTTGACAGTTGGAGCAAGAAATCTGGAATTGCGTTATGTTTTCAATTTGGATTTCCAGCTGCTCTTTCATTTTTGGATGATGGACATGACAGACTTATAGGTAAAAGGTAATTGTCATGCAACAAAAGTAGGAGGTAGAGACAAACACCAGAGCGAGGTTCCTACAACATGTGAATAAGAGCAGGAGAACAATGAGTAACCTAATACTTGTCCTATCTGTAAGTTTGACCTGGTGTCGGTCGGAGATGAACACGGAAGATGTGTATCTCGGATGTAACAGTCCATGTTACTTAGCATTATTGCAATGAAGACCGTGCTATGTTGTAGTAACAAAGAGACCCGTATAAGACAACAGGACGAGGAGTTCGACCACAGCATAGCAGACAACAGGACGAGGAGTTCGACCACCGCATAGCAGACAACAGGACGAGGAGTTCGACCACAGCATAGCAACTGAGAACCAAACCAAGCACGTAGCACAAGTACAATAAAATAAAACGGCCAAGTAATAAGACGTAATGCTGCAAAAAGGAAGTTAACATCAGAACGAGGGAAACATGGCTTTGGGATCAATCAAGTGGTATTATTATGGTGAAATCAAGACTGCCATTGCCGGCCATCCAGCTATCATCAAAAAAATTCAGATAAAAACTATAGTACTCGACTCTGGAGATTACCGAACTCCAAAAAATGATGGAAGTACAGACTCATTCGTTTGTGTACTCCTACGACAGTCCTCCTTCCTCACTCTAATCCAGCGTCACCCCTGGTTCCACATCTAATGGTTCCCATACAGAAGAACAGTCCATTCGCAGTCCCCTTTCCTCGCGGAATAAATGGAGTACATCCTACTAGCAGTACCATTCTCCACGAACTTATTGATACGCCATAATAGACTCTCATCAGGGCGGCACACCGCATTCACAAGAAATTAAGGGGTTGTTAAAAAAAGACAGGTTAACGTTCTCTCCTCCTCACCGAGCCATCTAGATACACCCCGGAAAGAAATCACTGAGAGACATTATCCAGGGACAGGTTTTGAGTTGTGTGTCGTTTGATCCAGCTGCTCTAACTGACCAAACAGTGTCAGGTAAGTTGTTATTAAAGACGATTCCTCTGTTATCAGGATTTTCTAGATCCCTGAATTGGCATATATAGTTTGAGGACATTTTCAATTTGCACCGCCAAGTTTGTTGACGGCCTAATCTAGTTTAACTCACGTTGAATGACATCGTTAATAGTTCGTGTATATGTGTATTTAACATTTTGACTTTTGTACATGTACTACCAATATTCACATACACGAATCGGAAGATGCTTGTGCACGAGAAATTACGCTGAGGTTCTTTGTATTTCTTAATTCCCCTATGACTTTTTGTAAGTAAGGCAGTTTTTTAATAGCGTAGAGGTGGTTATTGCAAGTGAAAGGACGAAGCACATGTATAGGGCAGTGGAACTATGGAATGCAGTGTATTCTTTGACACACTGTACACACTGTACCTATTCACACATTTTAAAGTGTTATCACCTGTATGTCTTACGTCCATCTTTCTAGATACAAGATGGTAGACTCTGCTGGTGCATTTCTTAGTCCCAGAGGTTTGCCATAGCCTTGGTAGCCCGAGGTTTGCCGTAGCCTTGGTAGCCCGAGGTTTGCCGTAGCCTTGGTAGCCCGAGGATTGCCGTAGCCTTGGTAACCACAGTGGTCTTTGTTGAGTAGTGGCACGGTTCATAGTATACACATCTTCTTAATTCTACGCCGTAGCCTTGGTAGCCCGAGGTTTGCCGTAGCCTTGGTAGCCCGGGGTTTGCCGTAGCCTTGGTAGCCCGAGGTTTGCCGTAGCCTTGCTAGCCCGAGGTTTGCCGTAGCCTTGGTAGCCCGAGGATTGCCGTAGCCTTGGTAACCACAGTGGTCTTTGTTGAGTAGTGGCACGGTTCATAGTATACACATCTTCTTAATTCTACGCCGTAGCCTTGGTAGCCCGAGGTTTGCCGTAGCCTTGGTAGCCCGGGGTTTGCCGTAGCCTTGGTAGCCCGAGGTTTGCCGTAGCCTTGGTAGACCGAGGTTTGTCGTAGCCTTGGCAGCCCGAGGTTTGCCGTAGCCTTGGTAGCCCGAGGATTGCCGCAGCCTTGGTAACCACAGTGGTCTTTGTTGAGTAGTGGCACGGTTCATAGTATACACATCTTCTTAATTCTACGCCGTAGCCTTGGTAGCCCGAGGTTTGCCGTAGCCTTGGTAGCCCGAGGTTTGCCGTAGCCTTGGTTGCCCGAGGATTGCCGTAGCCTTGGTAACCACAGTGGTCTTTGTTGAGTAGTGGCACGGTTCATAGTATACACACCTTCTTAATTTGGAATTAACCAGTACACCTCTCATTTGAAATTCATAAAGCTGAAGGGGTTTACGCACTTCCCTAATTAAGCACTTGTTTGCCCCGAGCATCACCGACGAGTCATACCAGGACGAAACAGCTGTATGGTGCAGTTTCACTTATCTTTTGGCATACTGTAACTATTACTCAATTGTAAAGGTACTATTACATGTGTGTGTGTATTACGTCCATGTTTCAGCTTAATTTGAATCATCACCAAGTTCACTGAACCAGGGAATAAATTCGAGCAAGTGTTCATCGATCCAACAATCTTCACTTATTTGCAAAGGATTCAAAAGGTCTCGTATGACATATTTTCTGTTGGGTTATCGTTTTCCCAACCATCTCTCCATTAAACACTCTTAAAACGTCAAAACTCTGCCGTCACGGACCAGCCAGTACCTTTATATAGCCTTACGTAGCGGGTTTTCTGTAGTCCTACGTTAAGTTTGAGATGGTTTGCTCCCGTGTCTATCTTGAACGTCACAGTTCTTTCGTCCACCTGAAGATCGGTTGACATTGTTGTGTCACGTTCGTTTATATCTGCATTGATCGAATATTCCCCAATGTCATATTTACCTGAACGTAACCCATCTTCAACATCCTCGTTTACTCTAGCCCTATGGGGTGTATGTCTCATTGTTTGCTAACACATCGCTAGGAAATGTCCAATCGTATTACAGCCAATACTATGGTTCTCCCTAGCCTTCTGTAACCATATCTATAACACGGACCCTCGTTACTAGATGAATGCGGTGTTACGGTGGCTGATACGTGCCTATCGTTGTTTCGACACAACGAGAATTAAGATTTGTTAATTGTCGTCCTTTCGGGGTGAAAAGACGAAACAACGAAATGGAACATATCAGCCACCGTACGGTGTAGCATGGGCGTTCTTTTTACAGATGCTATGTACTGAACCCAGTTTTTAGTTGTTTACCTATCTAATGATTTCGTACCAACACTTGCAGGTTTTTTGTCACTTCTTCGCTCTGACGAGCTTGCCCGATAGCCTTCTCTTGCTTGTAAGGTTAGGACCATGTTGTACATTTTCTGGTTTCTGGAAGTTTTGGTATTTTTTTCAGACCTATCACCGCCCTAGCTGTCACGATGTTCTTACAATCATATCATAGTTTCCATGAATGAATTTCACGCACTCAAATACTGCATTCCTTCTCACAACGAAATAGTTGTCAAAGTCCTGCTTTATAATACCATAAGTCTTTGAATCACCAGACAGTAGAAACGCACTGAAAATCTCCCAGGTTCTGGGCCCATCGTATTTATATCCGTGTACTAACCAGTAAGGATTTGTATTTTCCCGTCAACTCATATACCAACCTAAATTTCAAAATCTTTTTCTTGTTTCGTACACCTTTTAGGTGTCTCGAAATCAAAGTTTCCCGGCGATGTCAATTGATACCGCGCCGCCGTGACATATCCCATAGTCGATGTAGACTTAAGTTCCCACATAGGTGATACCATGTTACTAATAACGAACACCCAGCGATCGACTGTCGGAAAGTGGTCGTTATGTACAGTCTATTTCATAAACAAATCTTATAAAAAAACGTCAGACTTCCATAAAAACTTTCTACAATGTGACGTCCGGACAGCCATCTTAAACATTTATACCATTTACAACTCCCATATAGAAGTTATATGTATGGAATCATCTGTAAAATGGCCTCGGTATGCCAGCCAAACCAGGCATACACGTAATAAATAAAACAGATTCTATGTCTGGGCACTGTGAGACACGATGGAACGCTTCACTAATGAAGAAAAACATCGATGTTAACTAATCGATAAAGCCTGTGTGTGGACATGATACCGCAGTTACCGAGTACACCACCACACATATTCTGCAAAACGTGTCGAGCGTCTAAATATGAAAAAAAACCACCAAACCTAACAAACATTATGTCCAGTGGCGCTAATACCGAGCTTTGTGGCTTGTCATTATCACTCTCCCCTCGAGACCGCACACTATACACAAGAGCAGCTCGCCAATTCACTGCTACACAACCATATACGAATCAATTATTGGGTTTGTCAATGATCAGCGCTAATTGGTTAGGATGTTAATATTGGTAGATGGAGACATGCTCAGTAGTTTTCCCGCCATTAGTTGCAGAGGCTGTGATAGTAGCTTCGCTTTGAATTAATCACGTGATTTGGTATGGTGACATGTGACAATCAAAGGAATTAAAATATGGCGGCTGCTGGAATCGGTGTACGTGTGTGAGGATGAGCAGAAGGTTACTACAGCAAATGTTATCCCCGTACATGTGACAGTGTTAATGGCAGACCCTGTCTAGACACAATGGGCAAGAAACAGAGCAAATTAGATGGCACAGAGCTTAGGGATCTGCTGGACTCTACCTACTGTGAGTGAAAACACTGGACCACTATACATAACGGGTTGAGTATTGGTACCCAAACGTAGGTAACACTGCATATTATTGTGGAGGACTGGTCCACACCTGTATGCTGTTTATTGGCAGTGATTCTCCCTATCGGTATGAAAATATTATATAACGTGAAAAGTACTGGTCCCTATGGGTAGGTTACACTGTATATAATGTGTGGAGTACTGGTCCCCATGTGTATGTAACACTGTATATAATGTGCGGGGTACGGGTACCCCTGGGTATGTAACACTGTATATAATGTGTGGAGTACGGGTACCCCTGGGTATGTAACACTGTATATAATTTGTGGAGTACTGGTCCCCATGTGTATGTAACACTGTATATAATGTGTGGGGTACAGGTACCCCTGTGTAAGTAACACTGTATATAATGTGTGGAGTACTGGTCAACATGGGTATGTAACACTGTATATAATGTGTGGGGTACGGGTGCCCCTGGGTATGTAACACTGTATATAATGTGTGGAGTACGGGTGCCCCTGTATATGTAACACTGTATATAATGTGTGGGGTACGGGTCCCCCTGGGTATGTAACACTGTATATAATGTGTGGGGTACGGGTACACCTGTATATGTAACACTGTATATAATGTGTGGGGTACAGGTACCCCTGTGTAAGTAACACTGTATATAATGTGTGGAGTACTGGTCAACATGGGTATGTAACACTGTATATAATATGTGGGGTACTGGTCCACATGGGTATGTAACACTGTATATAATGTGGGGAGTACTGGTCTACATGGGTATGTAACACTGTGTATAATGTGCGGAGTACTGGTCAACATGGGTATGTAACGCTGTATATAATATGTGGAGTACTGGTCCACATGGGTATGTAACACTGTATATAATGTGGGGAGTACTGGTCTACATGGGTATGTAACACTGTGTATAATGTGCGGAGTACTGGTCAACATGGGTATGTAACACTGTATATAATAGGTGGAGTACTGGTCCACATGGGTATGTAACACTGTATATAATGTGGGGAGTACTGGTCTACATGGGTATGTAACACTGTGTATAATGTGCGGAGTACTGGTCAACATGGGTATGTAACACTGTATATAATGTGTGGGGTACGGGTACCCCTGTGTATGTAACACTGTATATAATGTGTGGAGTACTGGTCTACATTGGTATGTAACACTGTATATAATGTGTGGAGTACTGGTCTACATGGGTATGTAACACTGTATATAATGTGCGGAGTACTGGTCAACATGGGTATGTAACACTGTATATAATATGTGGAGTACTGGTCCACATGGGTATGTAACACTGTATATAATGTGTGGAGTACTGGTCCACATGGGTATGTAACACTGTATATAATGTGTGGAGTACTGGTCCCCATGGGTATGTAACACTATATATAATGTGTGGAGTACTGGTCCCCATGGGTATGTAACACTATATATAATGTGTGGAGTACTGGTCCACAGGAGTATGTAACACTGTTTATCATGTGTGGAGTACTGGTCCCCATGGTTATGAAAACACGAGTCTTCATCAATATGCATATATCGAAACTCTGATCTATATGTTCGTTTGTCAGCATTCGACGTCTGTCACGGAGTTAGGGATATTCAGGGCAATCCCCCTTGATATCAAATCAACACGGAGACATATAAACGCTGTAATTTGAGGGGCAGGGATGTTGTTTATAAAAAGGAATATCGAAAATCACGATTACCATACAGCATCGTAGCAAGCGATCCCTGTTGCTGATATCGAGACAACGATCCTTGTTGCTAATATCGAGACAAGCGATCCCTGTTGCTGATATCGGGACAAGCGATCCCTGTTGCTGATATCGAGACAAGCGATCCCTGTTGCTGATATCGAGACACGCGATCCCTGTTGCTGATATCGAGACAAGCGGTCCCTGTTGCTGATATCGAGACAAGCGATCCCTGTTGCTGATATCGAGACACGCGATCCCTGTTGCTGATATCGAGACAAGCGGTCCCTGTTGCTGATATCGAGACAAGCGATCCCTGTTGCTGATATCGAGACAAGCGATCCCTGTTCCTGATATCGGGACAAGCGGTCCCTGTTGCTGATATCGAGACAAGCGATCCCTGTTGCTGATATCGAGGCAAGCGGCCCCTGTTGCTGATATCGAGACAAGCGGTCCCTGTTGCTGATATCGAGGCACGCGATCCCTGTTCCTGATATCGGGACAAGCGATCCCTGTTGCTGATATCGAGCCAAGCGATCCCTGTTGCTGATATCGAGACACGCGATCCCTGTTCCTGATATCGGGACAAGCGGTCCCTGTTGCTGATCTCGAGACAAGCGATCCCTGTTGCTGATATCGGGACAAGCGATCCCTGTTGCTGATATCGAGACAAGCGATCCCTTTTGCTGATATCGAGACAAGCGGTGGATGCAAAAGGGTCTTTGGTGTCCTTTATTTCAAGTGTTACAAACAGTATGATCAACACATTTATTGTTATTTAAAAACAACACATCATCAGTATATCTGAAAGTGAAAGAGTTCACATGGTCCTTGTTACCTATTCTTTTACTAATCCGGCCTCATATAAAAACAAATAAGCCAGCAAAGATAGGAGCACAGTTAGCAGGCTGCTGGAAAGTCTTACCGCTGAACTCAATCATTCCTGCGATTTCATCTTCAGTTTATTTTCATCTTGGAATTTGTCGTGTTGTTGACAGAATATGATTCAATATAATTCACAATCGTGCCATAGATATGTTTACGTCGTTCGTCCTTCTTGGAAAGGAAAGCGTCCACAATAAGAGGACGAATGGTTTATTTTAGTTTGGCATGAGGTATGGTAGTGCACAAAGTGGAAAAGTAGACATTCTTAAAGAAGAAACAGTTTGAAGAAAGAAAGTTCAAGACTGATAATATTGGAGGTTTTCGAATCCCAAGTTCCATTCATTTCTCTGCTGTCGTGCAGATTGTTGAGTGTGGTTTGAACGTCGGGGTCAAGAAAAGATGAAGTGCTGAATAAGTTTTCGCTTTGGATTTCAAACTGCTACGGTTGTTGTAACGATGGATGTGACAAATTTAACCCAACCTGAAAGTTTGTCCATCGTCTGGTGTAATCGCCCACATAATTCATTAGTATCATGGAACTTTCATTCCAATTGATGTTAGGAATTTCTTGATATGTTGGACCCTTTTTCAAAACCAGAGTCTCGTACTTTTCCTCTAATATTTCGATCACCAGCTTCTACGTGCCAAGCTGGACCGTAGTTGCATGGAGATGCAGAATAGGGCAATGTTATAGGAGGGGAAGGGTTATATTGAGGCATTTAAATTCAGCTGTGGTAGCGCTTACTTGAAGATGAAACACTTGGAAGCAATTTCTCAAGTCCTTTAACTTTTCTCTCTGAAGAACGATGATATAATTAGCCCTGGGGTACTTGTGAGTGTAGGATATTGTTAACAATAAGGGCACCCAACACCCAACACCCAACAGAGCAGTTTAGTTTTAATTCACTCGTAATGTACTTAATACAGACAGAGGGGGCGAATACCATGTAGTTAGAATAAGGTGGAAACCTTATGGTTCCTCTTAAAATTCCCATGAGCTCTTCAATCGTAATGTTGTATTCGATTGGACCGTTGTCATGTCAAAGTCTACGACTACAATTAAATCTTTTTGAGGAGAAAATGTCGGTCAGTGATGTAAAAGTTCCTTCTGAAAAAAGGACTCCAATGAGTGTTTATCCGTGCTATGCTTTATGCAACTCTCAATTTGACTGAGTATTGATGAATTATCTAACGTGAGGTTTCCGAGAATGGTTTACAGTCGGTGCTCTTGATTGAGGTGCCAGCTAACAAGTCTTAGTGTCATCGTTCAAAATCCGGATATGTTGACCCACCCGGAAATGGCAGCATGGCCTGCTGGAACATCATCGAGCAGTCGCTGACGTAGGCAGGGCACTGCCCCTCTGTCAAGGAAACACTGCATATAACATTCTTTTCATGAGTGATTCAGTCTTCGCGTGATGTACTGGTAAGTTGGTATGTCCACACTAGCGTTCTGGTACTCATCTTAGTCAGTTTAGCGTTGGAAGGTTTTATGTACAGCTTCAGACTTTCCCCTCAAAGATCACGGACGATGTTGTTGTTCGTGCCTTGTGTACATATGTGACTTTTCCCTGTTGCAAACCTAGCTCTGTAGCTTTCGATGGTATTCAAACATTTGATGCATAATCTTATGTTAGTTGCACAGTGTTTTGGTATTCACCTTCTCCACCAAGTTCCACACCATTCCGTAATTTCCTCTTTGTGAATGCCATTGGTCGTGAAGACATACGTCTCTGCTTTGGCTGACACTCCACATGTACTACGTACAAGTTTGTACAGTTGTATGTGTATCTAGTTTGTTTATTGGCTAGATTAGTTATGTTATGAGTGACACTGAAATGCAGAACTTACACAGAATAATACGTCACCAGACAATGTTTATGGTCGTAGTAGTATCGCTGATAAAGTTTGTCCATTTTCCACACTTGTCGAGTGGCTACAAGAATGGATACGGTAACAAAATTAGTAAGAATAGTATCAAATAGTGTTATCTTTATGTTTATATTTGCTGTCACAAACAGAACAGAATATAGATTATTGTTTTAATTCATGGAGTCAATTTTATTTAATTTTTAATTGTTGTCTTAAATTTACTGACGTAATACTCGGCCACAAAATTAGTTCCAAATGTTTTTTTCGCTTTAAATTGTATTTGTAAAGCAGAAGGCTTTAAATGCTGTGGAAGGGGCTTTAAACTGTTTACTTTGTATCATTAAATTGTTAACTTTGTATAATTTACTGTTAACTTTGTATAAATAAACTGTTTATTTATATCATTAAATTGTTTACTTTGTGTAATTTACTGTTAACTTTGTATAAATAAACTGTTTATTTGTGTAATCATACTGTTTAATTTGTATAATTTACTGTTTGTTTTGTATAATCAAACTATTTACTTTGTATAATTTACTGTTTATTTTGTATAATTAAACTGTTTACTTTGTGTAATCAAACTGTTTAATTTGTATAATTTACTGTTTGTTTTGTATAATCAAACTGTTTACTTTGTGTAATCAAACTGTTTAATTTGTATAATTAAACTGTTTACTTTGTGTTATCAAACTGTTTACTTTGTGTAATCAAATTGTTTACTTTGTATCATTTATTGTTTACTTTGTATAATTGAAATGTTGACTTTGTATCATTTATCGTTGACTTTGTATAATTGAAATGTTGACTTTGTATCATTTAACTGTTTACTGTGTAACATTTACTTTGTATCGATGCAATGTTTATCTAGTATCAATTAAACGATTATTTTGTATCATTTAGATGTTTTCTTTGTAACATTAACTGTTTAGTTTGTATCATTAAAACACTTACTTTGTATCCTTAAAACATTTACTTTGTATCATTAAAACATTTACTTTGTATCTATAAAACACTTACTTTGTAGTTTTTTCAATTACAATTGATTCAACAGTAACACCTGTTTTTATGTTTTATTACAGTTGACAGACGGGAGATCCAGCAGTGGTAAGTTATAGACCACCCTGTACATGTAATACCTCATAAAAAGTGTCTGATCTGATCTCAAACCAGAATTCCTCAGTCCTTACCAATGCTCGGTCAATAACCTCTATAACCATCCGTTAACACCTTGTCATTTACCCACAATCAACATTCACCAATTGTTGGTTAATAACCCACTATATAACCTCAAACCAATGTTTGGTAAACCCATTAAACCTCATCAATAATGTCTGAACAATAACCCACTATATCCATTGCCATGGCCTTGCCAATAACCATTTATATAACCCACTAGAATTATTCATTAATGCCAGGACAACCACCCACTAAAACTATTCCATAATGGCTGATAAATAACCCACTATAACCATTTGCCAATTACCCACTATAAAGTCCTTTTCATCAATATTTCTGTTTTGACCAAATAGACCTCTACACAAATATATGGACGATTTATTTAGTCCTCATTTATATCACCCGCAGTTAGGTAGACACTTCAGAGGGAAATTGTTGATCTTCCTAAGTGTATCTATAACAAATTAAAAGTGAGTTGTCTTTGGACCAAGAGGAATTTAAGTCTGATCTTCTGTCTCACTGATGATTTAGGTAAGAGGTTACTTCCTTTAACCCAAAATATAAAAATTGTATCCTTTTTAACTCCTCACAATGACAGCTGTCTTTAGTCAAACATATGTTTCAAGGGAGGTAACTCTGAGAGTGTCAGGGATCTGACATTTGGTACCTCTTGTTGTTCCATGTTTCTGAGGACACAGTTTTGCTTTTGTATGAATATATTAAACAACACAAGATGCACCACACTTGACTCAAGTCATATAATTTCAAGGTTTGACACTCTAAGTCTCAGACAGAAATCGTTGTTTAAATATATCTGTAATGTCAGAAGATGGTGTTTGTATCTGTAATGTCGGAGGATGGTGTTTGTATCTGTAATGTCAGAGGATGGTGTTTGTATCAGGATTGATTTTCCTTTGTAACAGCTGTGTTAGAGGATGGTACTTTTGATATTTTGTTTTCTCAACCACAGGTACAGAGACTTCATGCGGGACTGTCCTAGTGGTATACTTAGGAAAGAGGTGAGTCTTTGTACTTTTCATTTATCTATGTTTAATGTATCGTGGCCAGTTCAGGAATGTCATCAGCACCAGATAACATAGCTGCAGTGTGTATACAGGAGCAGACTGAACTTGGGTACCATTGTACAAGCTTGGGTATATAATTAATTCTGTCTGAGTGCAAAAAAATGTCAGACTGTCTGAGAATGTAATGTAATTATGACGTATGCAGACAAAGCCAACACCAGTTATAGGTAACTGATCAAGGCGCTCTGTAGTGGAAATATACACACACTTAGTATTACGGACGGGTACACTTGGTATTACGGATGGGTACACTTGGTATTACCGACGGGTAATGCTGACACATGAGATAAGAGTTACTGCCCTTTGTATTGATAGTGCTCAGAAATTGCTGTTTTCCTATTAACATTTTATTGATATATTGTATTATTGATTATTTCAATTAATATTCTGCAACATCAATAAATATTTTAATATCAAGAACCATCTTAATATTTTGTAATACAAATGTATCAATAATCCCACTGATATTGTGTATCATTATTAATCATGGGTACATTTAAAGGTCAGTCCACCATTATAGGACATGTAAAGCCTGTTATGTTGGTATGGCCAGGTATGTTATTTTTACTGCTGGTATTAATGGTAGGCGGGCATGGACACGTGTATATTTCTTTAAATAAGTACATTTATGTTGTTTATCTCTGGGCAGACCTACAGGTAAAGTTAAATCAACTACATAATAGGGTGGTCAGGTGGTGCAGTGGAAAGCACACTGGCCTTTTACCAAGGCGGCCGGTGTTTGATTCCCCGATCGGACGTGAAAAGGTCGGGGTCACCTGCCCGACCACGTAGGTTTTTTCCGGGTACTCGGTTTCCTCCCACACTAAGACCCTCCATGGGCTAACATCCGGGCCAACAAGAGTGATTAATACAAGTTGAAATAACTTGTTTCATAATTGTTTTAAAATAAATAAAGATTATATATTTAAACTACATAATGTAGTGAGTATCACAATCTCTGAGCATCGTGTGGCCAATTATCATCTCTCATTCCCTCCTCTACTATGTTCTAAGTGAATTAATATTTATTCCTTGACAATATTTAGTTGCATATGACCTATGAAAAAACACTGAAAGACATCTTACTTACAGGACACTGTCTGTAAGATATCTTACTTACATGACATTGTAAGTAAGATGATATCTTTCTAACCAGGACATTGTCTGTTAGATATATTACTAAACAGGACATTGTCTGTAAGATATATTACTAAACAGGACATTGTCTGTTAGATATATTACTAACCAGGACTGTCTGTTAGATATCTTACTAACCAGGACAATGTCTGTAAGATATATCTTACTAACCAGGACAATGTCTGTCAGATATATCACTAACCAGGACTGTCTGTTAGATATCTTACTAATCAGGCCAATGTCTGTAAGATATCTTACTAATCAGGCCAATGTCTGTAAGATATCTTACTAAACAGCTCACTGTCCATAAGATATCTTACTAACCAGGACACTGTCGTCTGGAAGATATCTTATTAACCAGGACACTGTCTGTAAGATATCTTTCTAACTAGGACACTGTCTGTAAGATATCTTACTTATCAGGACACTGTCCGTAAGATATCTTATTAACCAGGACACTGTCTGTAAGATATCTTACTAACCAGGACACTGTCTGTAAGATATCTTACTTACCAGGACACTGTCTGTACAATATCTTACTAACCAGGACACTGTCCATAAGATATCTTACTAACCAGGACTGTCTGTAAGATATCTTACTTACCAGGACACTGTCTGTAAGATATCTTACTATCCAGGACACTGTCCACAAGATATCTTACTAACCAGGACATTGTCTGTAAGATATCTTACTAACCAGGTCTGTCTGTAAGATATCTTACTAATTAGACCAATGTCTGTAAGATATCTTACTAAACAGGACACTGTCCGTAAGATATCTTACTAACCAGGACACTGTCCATAACATATCTTACTAACCAGGACTGTCTGTAAGATATCTTACTTACCAGGACACTGTCCGTAATATATCTTACTAACCAGGACATTGTCTGTAAGATATCTTACTAACCAGGAATGTCTGTAAGATATCTTACTAATCAAGCCAATGTCTGTAAGATATCTTATTAACCAGGACACTGTCTGTAAGATATCTAACTAACCAGGACAATGTCTGTAAGATATCTTACTAACCAGGACACTGTCTGTAAGATATCTTACTAATCAGGACACTGTCTGTAAGATATCTTACTAAACAGGACACTGCCTGTAAGATATCTTACTAACCAGGACACTGTCCATAAGATATCTTACTAACCAGGACTGTCTGTAAGATATCTTACTTACCAGGACACTGTCTGTAAGATATCTTATTAACCAGGACACTGTCTGTAAGATATCTTACTAACCAGGACACTGCCCGTAAGATTCTTACTAACCAGGACATTGTCTGTAAGATATCTTACTAACCAGGACTGTCTGTAAGATATCTTACTAATCAGGCCAATGTCTGTAAGATATCTTACTAAACAGGACACTGTCTGTAAAATATCTTACTAACCAGGATACTGTCTGTAAGATATCTTACTTACCAGGACACTGTCTGTAAGATATCTTACTAAACAGGTCACTGTCCATAAAATATCTTACTAACTAGGACACTGTCTGTAAGATATCATACTTACCAGGACACTGTCCGTAAGATATCTTATTAACCAGGACACTGTCTGTAAGATATCTTATTAACCAGGACACTGTCTGAAAGATATCTTACTAACTAGGACACTGTCTGTAAGATATCTTACTTACCGGAACACTGTCTGTAAGATATCTTATTAACCAAGACACTGTCTGTAAGATATTTTACTAAATCTTTCTAAAGAGGACATTATAAGATATCTTACTAACCAGGACACTGGTATTTAACTAATGTAAATATTTTACTTGCTAATGGGGATAGCACATGTCTCATTTACCTGATTTACCTGATTTAGATTTCAAGCCCAGCAGACTTTTGATTGATATAAAACTGGATGTATAAAACATAACTGTACTGTCAGCTTTAATGATGTTTAATCCTTCAGTTTGCTTGGTTTTAACAATGAGATATATTTCACAGTGTCAGTTTGCTAGGTTTTAACAATGAGATATATTTAAGGGTGTGAAATGAGGGATACACTATGAGTCCAGCATGTGATAGATTGAAAAGTAAAAGAGGACCTAAGTAAGCCTTTAATCTGTGTGATGTATGGTGGTGTTAGTGAGAGGATGGCTCCACACAGTACACACTCAACTTAACACTTGTACCTCTCACCACAAGACCTGAATGGAAAAGAAGAATCAGACATCCCCAGGGACGGATTACCATTTCACACCTATGTGAGCATTTCCTCTCTTTTGCTTTTCACTAATTAGGTTGAAATGTTTTATTGCAAACTCTGAAAAGTTTTGAATGAAGTGTAATAATCCCTTGATTTGATGTTTTGATTTTTGTATAAGATTTCACTTCAAATAGCAATTAAGTCCTTGTTTGGTTGGTAAAGCTAAACTGTTAATAGCATTTGTGGGTTTTCACCTTGAACTTCTCCAGTTTTACGTATATCCACAACTGTTGACCTAATTTCAGAGCCTACTTTGCAATTGGTTATATATCATGTAAGGAAAACGGTCATATATTTCATATGTTAATAAATCCTCATTTTGAAAAGCAAACAACTGTAGCGCATACAACTGTAGCACGTACAACTGTAGCATGTACAACTGTACAACTGTAGCATGTACAACTGTAGCATACAACTGTACAACTGTACAACTGTAGCATGTACAACTGTACAACTGTAGCATGTACAACTGTAGCACGTACAACTGTAGTACGTACAACTGTAGTATGTACAACTGTAGCACGTACAACTGTAGCACGTACAACTGTACAACTGTGGCATGTACAACTGTAGCGTACAACTGAGCATGTACAACTGTAGCATACAACTGTAGCACGTACAACTGTAGCACGTACAACTGTAGCATACAACTGAGCACTTACAACTGAAGTGTGTACAACTGTAACACGTACAACTGTAACACGTACAACTGTAGCATGCATACAACTGTAGCACACGTACAACTGTAGCACATACAACTGTAGCACGTACAACTGTAGCACGTACAACTGTAGCATGTACAACTGTAGCATGTACAACTGTAGCAAGTACAATTGTACAACTGTAGCACGTACAACTGTACAACTGTAGCATGCATTCAACTGTAGCACGCATACAACTGAAGCGCGTACAACTGTAGCATGTACAACTGTAGCATGTACAACTGTAGCACGTACAACTGTACAACTGTAGCATGCATACAACTGTAGCATGTACAACTGTACAACTGTAGCATGTACAACTGTAGCACGTACGACTGTACAACTGTAGCATGCATACAATATCACCAGCAACACAACTGAAGCGCATACAACTGAAGCGCGTACAACTGTAGCGTGTACAACTGTAGCACGTACAATTGTAGCACGTACAACTGTAGCATGTACAACTGTACAACTGTAGCACGCATACAACTGAAGCGCGTACAACTGTAGCACGTACAACTGTAGCACGTACAACTGTACAACTGTAGCACGCATACAACTGAAGCGTGTACAACTGTAGTGTGTACAACTGTAGCACGTACAACTGTAGCACGCGTACAACTGTACAACTGTAGTGCGTACAACTGTAGCACGTACAACTGTAGCAGATCTCAGGAAAATCTAGTGAAAAAGTCCTTCTTTCCCTGCTGAAAGTTTCCCTATAATGGAAGATAAATTAGCCAGGTGGCTAATTCTTTCTACCCCAGGTTTCTACACTGTAAGTGCGATATGGGGCTATTTAGATTTCTAGGGGTAAGATTTGGCAATAGCTTATTCTTCCTACCATAGTCTAAGATTTAGATTTGTAAGTAGA